AAAAACGTATACTGGAACTCGTCGGTGATTCTCTATTAATCTAATAAACTAAATTCTAAATTATTATATTGATATGATTACAGTCACTTCGTTAGTAATTGCTCCACCTCCGCCTATAATTACACACACTGCGGCCACGCCGCAAGACTCGCCAAATGCTGCTCACGAGTCAAGGGATTTTCGGCGATTCCAGTCGCTAACACCGTATACATTTTTACCGTTTGACACAAATGGAAGCGGATTTTCGATTGATTCGATTGACTGCTCAGTGGTTTGTAAAATGCTTGTTACATATGAGTAGTAGAATAACTAAGRCACATCGCTTAGACTGTAAAAGATTAAAACAATGTCACATAATATTGGATTAGTACAAATATTATTGTACGAATAAAATTCTATTTTGATGATTAGAGTTTATATTTAGTGAATATCATTGATTTATCAATTATTAATTAATAATGATAAATTTATTGTTTATGCATAAATAAATAATATATTATATTATATTATACGCTCGATAATTTTTTTTTATTTTAATTTTTTTTGTCATTTGAAGTATAAAAAACAATAATAACAATTATAGAACACTTAACATTTCTTCTTTGATAATAAAATTTAATGTTATACAAATAAAACAATTTAGAATTAAGTAACATTTATTAATGATTTTTTTTTTTTTAATACAATACCTACCTATAACGTAAAAGGTATAATAAGTTTGCTAATTTAACTAGGTGGCTTTACATTCAAAATTGCTGATAAATCAGCACATTTGAAAAACTTTTCAAACCAAATCTTGGTTGAGATTTGTTCTGCCTGAATAAGAAAAATATTAACATTTTAAACAAAATTAAATATAATTATACAAAAYGAGTTATGAATTAATTTAATTTAAAATTTGAAGCAACTTTATGTATCTACTAACAATCAAATTATAATTCTATAAATTTTTCAAAACCACGTTAATTTTTTTGTTGATTTATAGATTAAAATTGCCTTATTATTCAATACAATATACTGGAATTCTATTTATTTTACCTTTATGAAAATATAMATTTTTTTACTTGATAAATTATTTATGTATTTGTTTTATATTATGTTTAATAGCGTTCGTCAACAAATAGCTTGCAGAGTGTTTCTAAGTTTCCTAAAATCAACAACAGAACTCCTCAAATATCTAGTCCACAAAAGTTGGTAGCGAATCAAAGTTTTGAAACGATTCCGGAAGACATTTCTTACAGGTAAATATAATCTAAATAAAAGTAGGTATGTTTAAGTTGTATAACTAATTCATCAAAACATATTTTTCTTTACCTGTTTAATAGTATTTTAAGTGGATTTAAAATATATTATATCATTAAATTTAAAAAGAATAACTAAGTTTGGAAGTCACTCGTTGCATAAGTTTAATTTCTTTTATGTGATTATGAATCATTGCGCTCGAACGTTCCACATACAATATCATATTATAATTAATTACGCTTGTTATTTTAATTATTCAAAGTATAAAAGAGTTACATTTTAAGGTTTTTCTTTTTGAGAAATATTATTATTTAAAAGTGAAAGTTTGGCCTTGTATGCACCCTACTTTATAGTTTATTCCCCGGTGGTTCTTTACACAAAGGCCAATTTTTTATGATGAATGGGGGTCCTGAGAGTTACATTCTAAAAACAATGGACAATACAGAACTTCTATCTTTTGAAAAATCGTAAATATATCTTGAAGTAAATTAAATTTATAAGGGGTGTTTGAAACGTAAAATTTGTATGCAAGTACCTATATAATAATAATATAATATGGAAAAAAGTCTGAATTATTTTTCAGTTTGTAGATACCTAGCTCCTACAATGGTACCAAATCAATATTATAACTTTAAAAAATATGATATGTGTTTTATGGGACGCCTAATGAGTGAACCATYAATAACTTTCATGTAGTTGTAAAATATTTTTTTCTTTATTTCATCTGTGATTTGGTTATTTTCTACATCTGCCAAGTATAATTTCTATATTAAAACTATACATTTTATATTGTCTCTTTTACCATAATTATAAACTTGTAAACTTGTGCCTACTAAGTGTCAAATAATTATATACACACGTGTATATTCAACATGTACGTCTATAGATTATATTGTATATTTTTTTTTTATTATTATTACTTACAACCCTTTTTTATCTGTGATACACGCATGTAACGTAATATGTGTACAGCAAAGTGTGTGCAACAGTAAACGTAGGTACTATGCTGACCATCATGTTTGGAAACTCTTCGAACACTAGAACTTTATGATTTATATAAAAAAATAAAAATAATGTTTACAGTGGAGAAAATGGTGAAAAACTTCAAAGACGATATTCATGGAAAATCTCGAGACCCTCGTTAAGACGAAAATCAAAATTCAGTAACGCAGAATGTGAAAGTGACGATCAAGGAATACTGGTTTTAAACAACAATAGCCAATCAGTAGTGAATTCCGGGTAAAAATAAAAATATATACCTACCACATAAATACGAGTATCATATTATTATACAATATGTTTCAGTGAAAACATTTCCCGTACGTCATATGTATTGTATTTATTATTGTTTTTAATGTGATATTTTCGTATATTTAGAGCTGCACAAGACCACTCTCAATGTAACGGCGGCGTTTCAAAAAGTCCATCGCCAAATTTCCGTGTGCCAAACAATTCGTTGTCCGATTATAATACTATTGAAAGGTCTCCATCAACTGTACAACAGGTGATCAAATTAAAATCCAAATATTTATCCAAGTTCTTACTGCAAGCTTAGAATATTAAAAATATTTCTGGTTTCGAATTATAATTTAATTTCAATCTCAAGAATAAATAAAACCCTCGCAAAACATCTATTAATCATATTTTTGCTACTAAAAAATGCACAACTTTAAAATAAGAAAATAAACATTGAATATTTAAATACATTTAAAAATACATGCAATAAAGAATTTAAAAAAAATAAAAATAATTTCACAGTTTTTACTTTTGATCGAGTGTGCAAAATACATGTTTTATTTTAAACGAATTTATATAATACATGAAAAAAAAGTAATATTTGTTCTTCCCTTAAGTGTTAACCGAAAAAATCCATAAGGTACCCACTATTAAACTTAATTGAACTTCCTGAAATTTTAGACCAATAATATTATTTATAATAAGCTCTCTGCGTATTATTTATTGAAATATTGTCATTAACTATATCTTAAATGGTGTTTAACTTTTATCCATAAATTAAACTAATTTTACCTACATCAAACAACATTAATTATTATCTTATGGTCATAATGTTTTCACAAGKAATTAAAAATTATTATCATTTTTAATAAACAGTGTTTTTTAATAAAAATAAAGTAGCTTATATCAATCAATCATATGTAAAATTTAAATTTTTAAATTTTCAAATTGAAAAATCTAAAAAAAACTTACCTACCAATTTTGTAGCGAATTCTACTAAATTGTTTTAAATACCTAATATGGATATGTGAAGTGTTATTACCAAAAATTATTTTGAATGTAATATAAAATTAATTTTAAATTATAATAAATAAATGGGTAGTTTTTAGAATATTAAATTCAATGATTATTTACCCCTRAAAAAGTTCTCRATGAAATGTCTCAAAAAAATAAATAATTGATAAACTTGTAAAAATTAAAATTAAAAATGTTTGAAAACGAGGCATAATAAAAATTATAATACTTATTGATATTTAATGTATATATCCTATTGTTATATTTGTGGTGCGAGGTGAGTGTTGACTGGTGGTGGTCATGGYTGAAGGGGACTATTCGATAATTTTGAAATCTTATTTTGTATTCCCCTCCACAGGGTTGTGCTCAGGATTTAGTTTTACGGGGGGTTTTATTTTTTTTAAATATAATATTTTTTATTTTATAAAAAACATATAGCCACGCCGAGGTCCCTCCATCGAAAAAATCCTGAGTACGCCATAGGTCACGCAATCATAATAATTATAATTCCTGGTTCAAATGTATTTAGCCAGTTCTAGCCATAGACAATCAATATAGATATAAATAAATTTGATTGAAAATTATATCGATTATTATATAAACAACATTTGTGTTTACATTAAATTAAGAACATAATAGATCATTACTTTTCAAAACATTAACACTCGAYTCGATTGAATGATAATTCGACACAGTATGTAATATCCTGGTAGCAACATTATATATTAATATGTATAGCATATTTTCATCATGGTGTTATACGCATCAATATCACGATTTGGGGTAAAATAAATACTAATATAACTATTGTAGGTAAATCTCTCTGTGAAATAACTTACTACAGACACACACTTTTTTTTTCAAGAAGGGATATTTTAATATTTTCTAYTCATATTTAAGAAGCTTTAAAATCTAAACAGCATGTTTAGTGTTAATATTGGTGWAAAGAAATTTTAAACAAATTTCTAATCKTAAAAATTCAGATTTCGAATTTAATTCATACACATTTATGTAAGGCACTGATATGATAAAATATAACCAATAATAATTTATTATTTTTAAATTAATGCTTAGGCACTCTCTGCAATACTGAAATGCTGTTTAGTTGAAGAGTTGAAGATAATGAAAAATTTCTTATTACTGGTGCAGGAATCTTCCAATATCTTTGACATCAAAATATATTGTTGTGACCGTCAATAAATGGGTTCGTTAGGTTTAATCGATTCGTTCAATTTACGAAAACGTTATAAGCGTTCCAGAGTGAATTAAAAATCATCGCACGCGGAGAATGCCAATTATAGTATCGCAATTGTACTGACTGAGTTTTCGGGAGAGAAAATGAACTCACAACGATTCTATGAAAACAGAAAAGAAACATCCACTTGAGTAGCCACACGTAGTATGTATATATGTATACGATAAGATATATAATGTATCGCGAGTCGGAATTAAACGTACCACGAAATGACGTAACGTCACGTCGTATACATAACGGCGCCACTTTGATGGCGTGTTGCCGCCGGAGAAAAAGAAAAATAACACAACCATCAAAGTTTTTGAAATTTAATATTATTGTGATTACGATTGCTGTACACTTCGGGGGAAAGGATTATTTACACCACCGACCTCAGTGCCGACTYTTACACGTACATGACAGCCATGACGCGTACACAGCCTATCTTGGAAAATGTTTTAACAGAAGGAATTTTTGAATGTGCAATGTGTAGGTATTGTTGCATTTTGATAACGAAATTAAATCCAATCGGACACTACACCGTAATAATGCACTGTCAATACGTCGTATAATATTATCTGTAAGTCCCTCACAGGTGGATAACCTTAGCCGAACCTTTAAAAGAGTACCTATATATAATAAAGTTTCAAGACTAAATTATTATGTAGTTTTGAGTGTTTTGACTCTAGAGACAATCATATAGAAACTTTTTGACCCAAGCGCGCAAATAGTTAACAGAGTACCAAACATCAWGTGGACAAAACTCAAACGAAGTTTGGAGCTTCCAAAATAWTCTGAGCCCACTTAAAATTAATGAAAAATTAATACAATATTTAAAAAATATTTTCTTGGACGAGTATTGTTCATATAGAATAATTATTGAAGTACTTTTAAATTATTTTTAAAGACATTTAATATTGAGCTTATTGACGTATATCGTCRAACCGATAGGTTTATTAATTATTTATTTTTTTTTATAGAGCACGGTTAATTACGTTCTAGCCGGTTGTCAGTACGACTGCTGTCAACCGTGTGACACACTAGGGTGCCCCGGACCCGCGGACGACAAGTCATCCGAACCATGTTGCAACTGCGACGCCGAGTCGGACACAGCCAAAGTGAACGTCCGCAAAGTGTTCTATTTCTTCGAAGAAAAGGGTTGGCTCAAGGAGCGGGCCGAGTATTCGCTGTACATATTTCCACCGGACCACGGGTAAGTCAGAAACACGAAAACACGTGTTGTGTTATGATAATTGTTGTAACATACAATAATATATAAATATTAAACCATCRCCACAACTGTTGTGTTCAGTATTTGAATTTAATAGAGGGTCGTGGAGGGAAGATTATCCCATATAATTACACTCTGATCAATTAGAAATTTAAATCTTCGGTAGCGCAATTTTTATATTTTTTCATCCCTCTAATATATATGCCTATTTATTTTCTACAATATAACTTACGGCGCATTCATTGTATACGTAGACAATGTGGAAACTCTATATAGTCTATATAATATAGGTATGGTTGTGGTTGCAGGATTGGGAGATTAAGATCACGCGCAACCGTTATAGATTAATATGAMAATATTATCGCAAGACGTTTGATTGATGAAGGATTTAATGTCGGCTMCTATCCAGAGTATTAATTGGGGGAAGGGGAGGAGAATTTAATAAATTATTAATGTATATTGTACATCGTGATGAGTAAATATATCATAATATATCATAATATAATAGGTAGGTACTTAGGTAAAAAACTAAAAGGTATTGAATTGAAAACTCTTAGCGAAATACTTGAAATAGAGTTAAGTAAAAACGAATAGGTCTACTTGATAAAAACGTACGGCGCCCTCAGGGGCGTCATTTGTGAGGTGGCAGGGTGTGCGGTTGCACCCCTTACTTTTAGAATGTTACAATTGGCCTGCGCCTTGCTGAAGCCTAAAATAATGCACGAGCCACGAATGCACAATTATTATTTATATGATTAAAATCAAACTGTAATAACCGGTCTATAATGTATGGAAATAATTGAATGCAGGATAATATACATATACGTATGTATATCTATTTTTATATGGCCTGGTGAAATTTCAAAATGGCCTGCTTGAAACTTCGCACACCCGAAAAAAAAACCTGAAATGACGCTCCTGGGCGCCCTTCCTGCCTAATAATTTTATTTTCATTGTTTGACATAAATGATTTGATGTTATTTAGTTTATGGAGTTTTTTTACCGTAATATAATAATGTACACATGCACCTATATTTACATAAATCTTTTTCTTATTTTTATTGGATGAGGAATCACTTGCATGCTCTCCTGTATCCACGTCTGAATTTACCGTTGTTTTTCTTTTTTTCTCATTAAACAACCGGGAAAACATGAAGTCATTAACATTAGTAAACCCTACTGTAAAACATAATATGTATCGACATTCGACACATCATATTACGGATCAATTATACATTTTACAATTTGTTGCGATTGATATAAAATATTACATTGTTAGGTAAGTTGATTAAATAATTTTATTGTTGTACGCTATAAATTTTAATAGTATTATACTATTACGATTTACGATTTACGATACTCGCAATCGTGCCTTATGCCCATCGTTTAAATTTACTTTTCCTAAGCATTCCGCACGTATTTTAACACATCCGACTTCCTTTCTATTTAGTATCTCTATTATCTGTTTAAGTTTCGTACGACAATTTCGTAACGCCAAACGCGTATATGATGGTAATAATAACACTATTACAATGTATACCTACCTACGCGTAATATAATATTATTATCGTTATGTTCACACACGTACAGGCCTATAATACCGACTTGGTGGACAATCATAATAGTATGAACAGTAGTCGTATTATATTGTGTAGCCATGTAGGTACTATTAAATGAATTCGCTATTGCAATTTCAAACATGTTAAGAAGATATGGAACAATGTGACGTATTTTTTCAAATTTCGTGAATAACTCGTATGAGAATTCAAAAAAGGGAACAGAATTACCATGTTACAGTGCTACTGTATTATGTATTATTTTTATTGTAATAAACGCGTCTGTCTTGCAATGGCTAGCCGAGATAACTTTTTCCAGATGACCCTTTGAGCAGTTCGTATACGCAGGATAGAAACGGTCAGAGTTTAGTCATCCTACGCGAGCTATGACAATAATGACCTGTCTGTAACAGCGTATTACTATTCTTTTGACCGACGATTACTTTCCGTCCGTGATATTATAGCAGTGCGCTTGAATGTCAGACATTTTGTCGACATGGTAGTATATACGTATATACCTACAAAGTACATATATTATAATATATTGTCGGATACGTCCTTTGGTGAGCAACAAACACAACGGACCGACCAAGGAAATGAGTTTTTATACATGTAGTGCTGCCGTAAGTAATAATAATAATAATATATAAACATCCTGCAGCAGCGTATTATTGACCACCGATGTCCGTTAAAAAATAACTGTGCGCCGGTGGCCCACCATGCCACGCGACGAATCGCGAAAAGAAAATTCCATACAATATTCATACGTTAATCTTCCCGACCCCCTCGGGAACGGATTTAAAAACAAACAGTGTACTGAAATAATTATAAGGGTATTTTATGTGTGCGTATGGAGAATATTACGAGGGGGAGGGGGAGATTCGTGTGATGAAATTCTCGAATTTATAAATAAATTTTACTGCGACTAGCGCGAACACCAATACTAATATTTTGTTTCGCGTAAATTAGCCCAATACACGACGTGTTCTGTCCGATGACAGGGAGATTTGCATAATTACCAATAGGCCTTTGACCGATAACACTACATATACGCAAAATCACAGTTATATAAAGCCACGTGTAACATACATGTACGATGCACATAATATAATATTATTCAAATTACAATTTGAATACAGGGCAATATATTTAATCGAAAATGTGTCAAAAATACAAGCAATCTTTTCTTTGATCTTCAGTTTTGACGAGTATATTAGGTACACAATAATGTCCTTACTTAACACAAAAATATGGGTTAAATAATGATAAACCGGACAATCTTGAACTATAGTTAATTTATAACTATAAATAACCTAACCTAACTTGTCAGTTAACTGCAACCCTAAATACAATAAATACGTATCATATTTTGATACGAGTTAATATATAGTATTAATTTAAATATATGATAAAAATAAATATGGTAAACTGATAAATAGGTTCACAAATAGATTATTAGTTAGATTGTGTTTGGAAGAGTTTTATGGTTTACGGTAGATTTCACAAAGTCTAAAAAAATATTGTTGTATGTTCAAATGTTAAGTATTAATTCAAATTTATACTAAGTACTATTAATTTCAAGTTAAATAACTAGCTGACTAATGTTTCTAATATATCAGTATATCACATAAACATTTTTTTAAAGGCCTAGAAAAATTAATATATAGACAGTACCTATTGTGCAATTATTCTAGCAAAATCTAAAAAACATTTAATATAGTTTAAATATAACTTTTGATTTTTGAATCAACTTATTCCGTGCTCTTGTGGTTTATATTGATGTCAATCAATAAGTAATTTTTTGTCAGTCAATAATATATTACATATTAGTATATTACACCTAACATATTGAATAATAATTCATTCGATGCACGTCATTCATATTATATACAGTATCCACTATCCATATTTACGCCAACTGTAAATTGTTTTGAACTTTAAATTTGTTGTTTTGTATGAACTAATGAACTTAATCAATCAAAAATAGGAGGTAGTATAAATTTATGTTTAATTAAAAAATACTTGAAATTATTATGTATTAGGCGATACAATTTGTCAAGAGTTGAAAAAAAACGAAATATATGCACAAAATAAATATACATAGGTAGTGTTATGATTTTATATTGTTCCAGCTTTTTAACTATATGTACCGTAAAAACTTAACAGCTTATTAAAATAATCTCAAATCTCAATGCATTGTGTTCAGTGGCGTGCGCAGGGGGGGATGATGGGGGATATATCCCCCATGGGTTTTTTTTTAGTCTTCTAACGAGTGGATTTTGGATCTCTAGTTCATCAACATAAACATAATACATTTTTATTTATGACATCCCCCCCCCCCATACCAAATTCCTGCGCACGCCACTGATTGTGTTCAATCTTCATATTCATATAATATGTAGATTGTAGGTAATACTTACTATAAATTGAATTACACAGTTTGACAATAATTAAGTATCTATAATAATTTATGGTTGTCAGATTTTACAATGATCAAATCTATCAAAAATGGTTAAATCACCCCAAAACTTAATAAATACTATCTAATATCTCCTATACAGTACTGACTTATAATTGTGTTTAAAATAAAACTTTTATTTTTATATAATTCCTTATATTTTCTGAAACGGAACCGTATTTGCAATAAAATAAAAAAAATCATCTTGCGTAAACTCACTTATATCCCAACGGCACGTCGTGTGTGTAATCAAGTTTCAGGAAATCGTGTGGAAAGTTCATCAAGCAAAAATGGTTCGACAACGCAGTGCTCACATTTATAGCGTTGAACTGTATCACTTTGGCCATGGAAAGACCGAACATACCACCAGACAGCAATGAGAGGACGTTTTTGGGCACGGCCAATTACGTTTTTACTGTGGTGTTTGCGCTCGAGATGTTTGTCAAAGTAAAATCACCTTTTTCTAAGATTAAAATTTTACAATTTATTTGCTGACCTAATCTAATTGCGTTGTTATATTTGTTTTTTTTCTCCGCGCGCGGACAGGTCGTAGCCGCGAGCATGTTCTACGGCACGGAACCATACTTCAAGTCTGGTTGGAATATCATGGACGGATTGCTCGTAGTGGTKTCTATCATAGATCTGCTGATGTCATTGATCTCCGAAAGTAGCCCAAAAATATTTGGAATACTGAGGGTGAGTACACGATTACTGCAGGTATAGATCATAATAGACGTTATTGTTATTTACTTCTTATATTTATTTTACGATACTATGGTAGGTATATCTAGTATCTAATTCTGTGCAGACTGGTCCAGGTCTCCAGGATACTATAAATCAATTCATTTTTATGATCCTAGCCCTGATTACTACTGCCAGGCCCTTTCTTAAGGTTAACTTTTAATGTAATGTAGAACTCTTTTTTGATTTTAGTAAGTTAAAAAAAAAATAATACGCGATAGCCTAATTAAATTTGCACCCTGGAGTAAAAGTTGACTATTTTGGGCCGTTGAACTTTGTCTAATACTTATGTATGTATCGATAAATATGAAAAAGTCACATGGATCATAAATGCAATATAGAACTACGTATATCGAATAATTTCTCGAATTTATAAATCCAAGAAAAACATTGCACGTTTCAATTATTACTATCTTTTTCTCTCTCTCTCTCTCTCTGTCTATTTTATTTTATTATTAAATAATTTTACGTAATATATTACAAAATTAGATTTTATTTTTTTATCTAAATTTTAACTGAATCACTTAATCAGGCGTGTAATTATTATGTTCGCAGGTGTTTAGACTATTAAGATCACTGAGGCCGTTGAGAGTGATCAACAGAGCACCAGGTCTAAAATTAGTGGTACAGACACTGTTGTCATCGTTGAGGCCAATAGGCAACATTGTACTGATTTGTTGCACTTTTTTCATAATTTTTGGTATTTTAGGAGTTCAAGTGAGTATATATTATTATTATAACTATTATTAAAAAGATAAATTTTGTTGAAACCTGTTATACAAACTTATGAATATATGGTGGCCTAGCAATGGATGTATTATTAAAATGCATTTTAATAAAAAAAATTTCCTTCTCATAAATGATTGAAAAAAAAATGACATCGATGCCTACTTAAAAAAATAACTAAATAATAGTTTGAGTTTAAATAATGTATTATACTTTAACCTTTAACCATTTTTAATGAATACTGATTATAAAGAGAATAAAAAGTAAACTATTTTTTGTATCGTAAATTAGACTGGTTCTTTTAGAATTAACTTAATTCAATTCTTGATTCAAAAATTAATTCAATTTTGTAAGACTATATACAATTTATAAAAATATTTTCTAGATTTGAAGACAATCATCTTTTTTTGAACGAAGTGATGAATATATTGATTCCACAATGATATATGTTCCGTACAGGAATTGTTTGAGTGGACTGTATTGATGCTGGTTCAGTTGTTTAGAGGATTGTTACGGAGTATCTGTACCGTGTGAGTGTTTTATACCGCGCAAGTCTGCCCGTGGTGGGTCTTGCTACGGCGTAGATGTGTCGTGAGTGTTCTATACCGCG